TTAAAGTGTATGCCAAGCCAAAACCTTTTTTAAGTTTAGAGTAGGGATGGAATAAAGCCCCTTTTTTTGCTGCCTGTGTCCTCCCTGGGGAGATTTACTTTTGTTTCCTGTTCTAGAGATGCAACAGGAAATGAAAGCACATTTTGGATTTCCCATCACTTCCTGTCTCAATGACAAGGGTCACCATAACAAACAGAGAGGTGAATCTGCCCAGTAGGAGCACAGACAGCAAAAAAATCTGGTAGGGGGCCTAATCCCTCACCACTCTATCCAAAACAAAACAAAATGCCAATCCATAACTTTAGCTTAAAATCAGGATAATATATATTAAGGAGAAGGTATTAAAAACAGGTTGAGAAACATTGTTCTATAGAGCTACCAAATCCCAGAGTTTCCAAACCTGGGATGGTGAGAGACAGAAATGGAAAAGAGGTCTACACTAGATTATACACATTCAAATACAAAAGATTATACACATAATAGCAATAATGTGCCAATTCACAAGATTATATGAATTACTTAAAGGAGAATTCTGAGGCGAGTGATTTTCAATCAGCCTCATAATCTGAGCCGACCTGTGACAATGAAACTGTCACAGGTCAGCTCAGTAGATCGGGAAGTGAGCGAACACTTACCATCAATCTATCCCTGCAGAGAGCCGTGACTGTCACTCACAGCTCCGTGCAGGGATTCCCCCCCTCCCCTGTCCGATCCTCCAGCACTGACTGGCGGAACGGACGGGGGAGGGGGCGGGCACAGCTGGCTCTGCCTCTGGATAGGCAGAGCCAGCTGTCAATACCGCAGCTGGGTGGATCGCGACAGCAATGTCGGGATTCGTCTGGCTGCGGCGTCTCAGTATACCGCGAGCTGGAGCTGGCAGTATACTGAGCTTTGGGTCACCCATGTTCTCCCATGACCCTTAGGAGAACTATGGGGAAAAGCCCTGACCCCATAGTTCTCCTTTAAAGGGACACTAAACCCAGCAGTCAAATCTAAAAAATGCATTTAAGTACCTTACCTATTAACAAAAATTTACCTTAATTGTGTATCACTCAGCTGTAGATAGTCAAATCATCTCTTAATTGGTGCTGACACTGTCCTTCCTTCTGGAGGGTGACTACTTTTGTTCCCCATGGTTCCTGTGTGTGTTGCAAAGTAGCCACCATTCCAAACTTGCTCCCTTGCTAAACTATAACTTCAATACAAACTAGCTAACTAAACGTGAGACTGTATTCCATCAAGGGGTTGAGATTGGAGTGCCAACTACTTTACAACACACAGGGACCAAGGGGGACAAAAGTAGCCCCTTTCCAGAAGGAAGGACAGCGCCAGCACCAATTCAGAGATGATTTGTGTATTTACAGCTGAGTAATACACAAATAAAATACATTTTTGTTAATAGTTAAGGTACATGGATGCATTTTTAAAATGTAACTCCCGAGTTTAGAGTCACTTTAAAAGTGATGAGCATATTGATTTGAAAATCAGAGGAACTGGAATAGTGTTAACAGTTCTATTTGCCTAAATATATGAATGAGTTTTTACAGTCTGCGAAGAGTCATGCAATTCATGAACCATGATTGAAAAGTTTCCTTTTTTTTTTGCATGATTCTTTAAATCTTAGACAGATATACATTCAAATATTCAGGCAAATTAAAAAAATTGCATCTCATTTTTATCTGACCATCACAACTTCTAGAGCTGCTACTCACTTGTCTCTTTTTGTAACAAAATAGCACATATAACAACATATTAGGAGCATTATATATATTTTTTATATACACAGAAATATTTACTTTGACAGTTCTCCTGAATGACTAATTATTATACTATTTTAATGGAAAACCATAAATAACGGTGTATTATTGAAGGAAGAAGGCTGTAATTCCATTCTGTAATGTGCTTCATTGCTGCAGTAATAAAAGAAACTTGAAACCTGATAATAATTCCACTGATGAAAAGCACATTATATTTTGTCAATCAACTGGATAACTCACACTTTTACCTTATTAACTTTACTTAGGATAGGTCATTTCATAACAAAAGTTTTCTTTTTAAATAAAATTATACAGCACCAAAATTTGCATTGATTTGCACACACATACACACACAAATATAATTCACCATTTTCCTAGGAATCACAATTTATTTTCCTTGGCATGCTTATTCATATGTCTTAGTTCTCTAAAGTATCGGAGTACTCATCTTTGTGAATGATGTCAAAATATGATTATCTGTAAAGATTTTTTTTTTTTTATTCGAAGACGGCACAAGACTTTAAAAACATTTATATTGTATTAGTTTAGGAGAATAATCTTTGGTTGATCTGATTTTTTCTTTAATTTTGGGGGCCAAAAAAAAAATTAAACAATGGCATCCAATTGACATTTTTTTGAAATTTGTGTACTGTATGTATTTTTGCTTGAGCAGATTTTTTTTCTTAAATAAAAAAGATAATAGATACATTTCATAAAATCTATGTCACTATTTACAAATGCTGAGGTTTTCTGTGTATTGTCTAAATAACTGGGAGCGTTAAAAGGCTAATATAGATCTACTCTCATTGATCTGGAGTTTCAGTAAACAAGGATGTGAAATATTATTAATGTCACACACTGTTTCGTCATGAACCCCTAATGTACACATCATAACAAGGTATAAGTACATCATATGGAATGAGTTTCCAAGACTCTTACAAGCATTTATTCATCTTAACTTTCTGTGACTCTTATAGAATTACAGTATTTAAAAATCAATTTACAGTAGACTTTAACAATGATTTCCTATTAAAAAATAAAAAAAAATAGCAAGGAATGGGGTTGGGACAAAGACAAAACATAAATAAATAAACTTTATATAATATTGCATTGTGAGGACATATTGTTTACCACACATAGAGATTCCCAGATTTTGTAGAACTACAAGATTCCGCATGCCTTGTAGTTTAGCAATAGAGAGTTGCAGATACCTAACTTGTTTACTGCATAACAAAGTCAACTTCACAACAAGGTGACACAACTATATTTTCTTTAAGATTCTTATAGGGCTCCATAAAAGCCTTGACAATTGGGAATCAATTTTATACCTTGAGGGCCAAATTCAAACGAAATTCAACATAAATTAACATAAATTTGAAGACAAATTATTTAAATTTGACACAAGCATGTCATGATCTTATTTATTTTGATTGAGTTGTGTCTAAGCAACTTTTAAAATTCGAAACTGCCTGATTCAGAATGCATGTTTGATTCATCTACTTTCCCACTTAAACTTTAATTCTTTCACAAAACTCTGCCCACTATGTGCTAATTTGTGTGCACTGTGGCATTTGTAGTTCAGTAATAATAGCTATAGATCATTATTTTCCATTCTTCTACCTTTCATCACTTGCCCACTAATAATTTATTTTTATAGAGAGTTTACGTTATATGAGGACGTGCGGACGGGGCCTATGCCTAAAGCAATGTTAATAACATTACATAACAGACTACTTCATAATTTCACAGGTCCAAAGTATGATCTGAGATATACATCACATAGACCCATTACTGTATAGTACAGCACCTTTTTATAAATACTGCATAAACCCAAAAGGATTTGTTGTAATGTGATTTTATAGTTTGTATAATGTCTTATGAATGCTTTCAGTCAGCATTTGTGCTATTTTTGTAAAAGTGAATAAACTGCACCAAAATAATGTAAAATAACATTACAAGTACTGACTGCTGGAGTATGGTCATACATTAATACAAGTCGGTTATAGTATGTGTGTAACATTTAATTATCATTATTTTCTGTACATGAAGTAGAGAACTTGAGAAACTTGTAAAAATAAAAAAAGAAACGAATGATCTCCGAGTACTATATGCTTGGTGTAAAAATAATTAATTAGAAAGAAATCTGACCTCCAGTAGTTGACCAACTTGACTTGAAAGTTAGATAGTGGGATGATATGAGATCCACACGTTATAAAAAAGTAATACCTTATGCAAACGATATTTTACAATACAAAATATTGAGTAATTCATAAGTTTCTGATTTTGCAAACAGAAGAAAATGCTGAAAGATTTTAACTTGCACTCTTAATGCAACTGAAAGCACCATTTGGGTATATTATCTTTTGAAATAACATGAAAACAGTTTTGTGCAAAACAAAATGACTGACTCTGAACGATTGACACCGTCCCTGTCTCAGAATGGTTTCTCTGAAGATTTATATGAAAACAAGTCTTGACTAGGATCATAGTGGTCTTCCGCAAATGTCATTTATTCTACGGCACTGTGTATACCTACTAGTAGACAACCCCAAAGCCTAAACGTTATCACTTAGTTATAGATATAAAAGGTGAGTTGTCTGTACATATGGAGAACTGGTGCACTCCTTCTGGTTTCATACTCTTGCACGACTCATCATGCCATATATTGTGTGTTCCTCAGACATCAAGAGCAGTCATATACACTATGTAATGTTTGGCACTAGGAGGGTATGGCGTCAGTTCATATTTTATATCATACCTGCATAAGTCACATGGAGCCATGCATTCAGAGTCCTGAAACTGATCTCCTGTATAGTACAAGAAACTAGACACTTTTATCCCCATCGCAAAACCTTCCACTTTTTTTTTGCCATCTGGGTATGTCATCATGATTATCATTTTTGACCTACTTTTTTTAACCTATTTCCTGTGATATTGTAAGTCTCCGCGGGTTGGGTTTACATTCTGCCACAAAATCCATTGCTGTTTTCTCAAATATCTACTGGTATAGTTTAATGATTTAAGGGAAAATAGGTAGCAAGATTTGGGTTAATTTTATTGATGTTTTGAATTAGACATTTATTTAAAAATTTCCAGTTGAAATTAAATAAGCCCTTTGCTACTGTGTATGATACCCATATATAAAAGAGTCTGCATGGATATATACATTGGGAAATATTTCAGACCCAATATCTCTAGATCAGACCCAAACTCCTGATGGTTCATAAAATATTTTCATTATTTGGCATGTTGCAAACATGGTCATCTGCTCCTCTGTTCTTCTTGAATTCACATGGCACACATGGTTGGGTTAAGCCATTTATGGTTTTTGTGAACATGCCCCTTTTGGGATATGCAACATTTTCTACGTTTTGGATGTGTGGAGCAGAGACCTGTAGCTTATAGACTGTCGGCTGTAGCATGGTTTAAGGGTCATTACATATAAAACCTTGTAGACATTACAACTCTTGAGACAATAATGACTTCTATATAAATAGTAATCACAGCACTAGACAACACACTGTCTATACTACATAGGTCTACTGTCCTGCCCTTATTTGTATGGTCTCTCCTCACTGAATATCTTCTGTCCCAAAATGCACAAACAAAACTTCCTCTTTGATATATCAGAGTACTTGAAAGAATGATAATCATGATGAATAGCCATTTTAATTGTTCACCATGGCTTTACTCTGTTCGTAAAACAGTTTGTTTTCAGCCACCGACTGGTTGACAGTGCTTACTGTTCAGGTTATCATTGTGGCTCTTTAAAGTCCTGGCTTTCAGGATTTCCTTTTGCGGCTGTTACAAGGTGGTTTCATATTCCAGACGTTCCTGAATAAGTGCATCGTCTTTATACTGAAGCCGAGGGGGAGTAGGTGAACATTCAAAAGCTAAAATTGCTTTGCGTAGGCTTCTATCCAACACATGTCTCTCCCAGGCTGGGTACCTGTTTCTAAACAGGTCTATTTTGATAACAGATTCTTCAATCCTCGGAGGCCTTGAGGATGGTGTAGAAGGGGCTGTAGGCCTCACTTGAAAAACTGGCATGCAGCCGTCTCTTTCTGTATATTTCTGATCGCTGGCCACACTCCTGTTATTGGACATAGATCTAAGAGTGCTTGAGGCCACCTCAGGGGGCAAGGGAAATGCAGATATTGGATCTTCACAAGCACAGCTCGGTGATTGGCCAAATCTAGGTCCATTAGGGTGAAAGAAGGCATAGTACATAAGCATAAAAACAATACCAGTTAAAAAGCTGCTAAACACTACACACAGTGCTGGAATAGCAAATGCATCCAGGATTTGGGGGGCCTTATATAAATACCACAGGGTACTCAAGGCGGTATTTTCCAGAAGGATGACAAAGTAATAAATAAATAGCCGACACCGTGTCCTTCCTTCCTTGACATTAAACCAACTAAAGATATAGATTATTCCAACCACCATATCAAACACAATCTCCTCCCACTTAGTGATGCAGAATTCTGTTTCACAATGCACAATCCAAAAGGTCATGATACACCAGTGAAGTACAATAAATATTCCAAAGTAGAGTTGGAAAACTGAAGCGAAGAGGGCAAAAGTTATCACTCTGGCAGCGATGGTGAAGAAATGCCAACAGAACTGGATGATCACAGCCATGTAACTGATGGGTTTCTTGTCATCTCTGGAATCCCTTAATGCTTTCTGATAGGATGCCAGGGCCCATGCTAAGGATACCAATGATGCAGCAGCTGTAAGACCTAGAACACAAATAAAGAACGTTGATTACAAGCACTGCAGAGAAATTTAGAAGACTCATAGATAACAACTGTTGTTTAAACACTAGTTAATAAAATATTTAAACCAACACACTGCAAAATTGTTCACAATTTAACATTTCTGATGGCTAACATTTTAGCAGAATGTTGTGGTAGACTTAATAACACATCAAAATGCATGATTTTTATTCTCAGCATGTACTTTTTCACAAACATCTTTTAGAAGCTGATAATTAGTTTGACTTGTTTTATTGTAATTTTTAATTCAAGATTATTAGTATTAACTTATGACGCAACAGGTTTTTTCTTCTTCATTCAAAAGCCTTTAATGGCCTTAATAAGGTTATTGGATCCTAAAACATTTGTTATGTACAAGGGCCTCTGCAAACTTAATTAGGTTAACTCCACATAATCTGTTCCTTTTCCTCAAAAACATCTTTATGCAATTCTTAATATTTGTGAAAAGAGATATGTTCCCACTTCAGCACACATCTCAATATCTTGCTATACAAAATCTAGTTTATAGTTTATTAAAACTCTGCTAAGATCCACCCCTCTTAATATCAGATGGTTGAAAAGCATGGATTCATGCCCTCCCCTTGGAAAATTTGTGGTTTGAGACAGCACCAATTTTGAATTTTATTTCAGACGATGGGAATGTAAGAAAACGCCTACAAATAAACATGATTTATGACCACTGTTTTAGGTGATTTTACAGAAATAATGTAATTTGTAGGACTTGCATTAATTTAATTCAGTGTGGATGGTTCAGGACAAGTGCTGGTCAATTTTGGAAGTAACATTAGAAGACAATTTTGATTAATTAGGCACGGAGGTTCATGCTTACTTCAATGTTTGCTAAGGATGTTACAAAGACCAGTACTTTTGTAACTGTAATTAGTGGGACTGGTAATCGATTAACATACACAAAGACTATTGATCCACACACTGTTCTGGAATAAAGGCAATTAGTGAACACAACATCCATACAACCACTCTGATACCTCATACAGAAATGTAAACAAGGTATGTGGGTGGATGGTCCACTTATGGAAGAATACTTTTTCCCAAAAGGATCATGTATACAAATTTTTTATGAGAGTGTAGCTTTAGTGCTGTGATGACAAACACTGTAGATGTATGCAATTGAAAAAATGTGTGCCTGGTTCAGTGGTTGTTCTCGTCACCCTTAAGGGAGCAACAGTTTTAAAAAGTTATTATGTTACCAATAAGTTATCAAAATCATAGAGTACTGCAGACTCAAATCATATAAGGATTGAATAAAAGTCTAAAGCTGGCTATACACTGTTCTATTTTTTTCATTTAACCAATAGCTTGAATGAAAAAAATAAAACAGATTAATCCATCAATGTTTACGAGCACTACTCGAGGAGCAGGCTGTTTCCTTTGTAGTGTGACAGCGGCTGCCGGCTGCTGCCAGGATACTTGAACAGAGCCAGCAGCTCATTGTCTGCAGGCTCTGTTCCTTTAAAGATTTTCCGATCAGCTCCTTCGATCAGCTGATAGAAGGATGCTGGCCAAAAGAGTGCCAACAATGGCACCCACTGTGTGATTTTCGGCCAGTTCCTGAAGAACCAGGCAACATTTGCATAATGTATGGCCAGCTTAAGATATTTTTTTTTAAAGTATGTTTAAAAAAAGTACAGTGTGGGTACAACAAATTCCAGTTAACCAAGTACTGTAGTGAGGGAAGTGCACAGGTAACACACAAAGTTCAAGCATGTGACACCATGAGAACAGTGTTCACAAATGTAACTGCAGCCCAAAGAATGTGATCACACACAAATATCATGGCACTAACAAAGTCAAGCAAAAATCATTTTATAGAAATATACAGGGTTATTCACAAAGGGTGAAGAGTTTGGAGAAGACAGGAGAGGTGAACAATCTAGACCAAAATAGCTGATTTGGAAAAATTCTCCAATTCAGCTCACTTTTCAGTTCAGCTATGTTGTCCTAGATTGTTCACTGCTCCTGCCTTCTCCAAACTCTTCACCCTTTTCTGAATAGCCCTGATATTAGTCATTATAACATGGCATGTTCTTTTACGACACCTACAACCTATTTCACAAAGCTGAAGTTTCTTGGAAGGTTAAAGGGATATTCTTTCAGCAACAAACTGACTTCCTATACTGGGTAGGTAACTGCTGCCCCCTATAAAATCAAATATACATGTTAGATCAACACTCTGCAGCTTTCTGCCTTCTATAAGGAAGTTGCCTTTATTTGTCTTATATACTATATTAAATCAATATACTGTAAAACATTTTTGAAGCCTTTGTAATGCAACCACTCCCTGGAACATTAATATGCTGTTCTCCATTTGTTCTATTTTTTTAATCACTCTTTTTTTTCATTCCATTCAGCTGATGTGTTTGGATGCAGCAGGTAAAATTTTCCAAAAGGAGAGCCACCGAAATCTGGAGCAAAACTGGGGCTGTAGTACATAGCAAGCAATATAGTTTAATTTTACTAGAGAATAAAAGATTAAATATGAGTGGGTTCTATGGGCAATGCTCTGATTTTTCTCCAGTTTTCTTGTACAATTTCAGATAAATAAGCCTGTATATTATGTTAAAGAACAAAATCCTAAGAAAAAGAGTTATGTCACCGCTACTAGGTTACATTAGCATTGTGGCCTGGCTCTGAGTTATGTGAGGGAATCTAGCATGTCAGGTCATGTGACCTCTTCATTACAAAGGCCATAGAAGGGAAGCGTGTGCATATTGGCACATAACTATGCCACAAGCAGGATTATGGAGCCAAATGCAGATTAGAAATCCACTCATCTTTAACATTTTTAAGCCCCTATCTACACCTAAGTATTGCGATAATGATAACATTTGGAGTGTGCTGCCAAAGCGCTTGAAAAACGTGTGTCTTTAGTAGCCCTTCAGTGCCATTCATTCTAATAGCACCAAAGCATGTCATGCTCATGTGGATACAAAGTCGCATGCCAGAAGCTTGCTGCTACATGCCAAGAGTTTTGATATGACACAATTTAAAAAAAGTAAGGTGCATGTACTTCTTTGGCACAATACACGCCTATGGCAGCCCATTTAATTAATAGACTGCAATGTGTGTGTAAATACATGCATACACGTGTTTCACGCGCTGTAGCGTCCCTCAGGTGTGAATAAGAAGGTTCACGCTACACTGTGAACACTGCCATGCATTGGCGATGTGGTAAGTTTTGCAATCACTAAAGAAGCAGACCACCGTACTGTGTGGGAGCAGTGGTCCGGCTCTCCAGTGCGCTGCTGGCAAAGGCAGCTTGTTAAAGTTTTAATCACAAACACACTTTAAAATATGCCATATTTTTTATGGCCTGACAATTTTTAATTCTCATATAATTTATTGGTTAGCAACTCAGTATAATCATCATATCTTCTGTATTTTACCAGTGACTGAACCCAAATGTTTTTTGGATATAGTCATAGGGATCTATTTATAAGGATGTATTTACAACTTGTTTTTCAATTCCAGTGCAAAATTCTTATCAGTAATCTATAAACCATGATAAAATATATTGTCATGAAATAAAATAAAAAAACAGGCAAAATCTAAGGCATCAGTGAAATAATTAGAGTGACGTGACACATTGTAAAACACGTGAAATGAAAATAAAAATATATGCCAGCATTTATAGAAATCCCTTTTCCAATGATTCATTATGCATTATTTCTGAGTTGCTCTGTAATGTCTAAGATGTTTCAGCTTCCTGTGAGTGGCTTCCTCAGTTCAAATAAGTGTCAGGAACGTGCTCAGCATTTATAACCAGGGGAGGAACTCAGTCACCTTAACCAAGTCATCAGGGTGCTATGAAAAGTGTCAAGGCAGATGTTGATTATTCAAGAACATGACTCAAGTTGTGAAAAGTTGTAAAAAAACAAAACATAATTTTCTAATTCACATAATCCAATCACAAATATGAGTTCAGTGTAAAAAATATCTGCTCCCAAAATGTGCAGGCTACATACAGGTCTCCAGTCTCTGCAGGTCTTTGTTACACTTTCTGTATATTTGGTGGTTATACTAGTTTTCACAAATAAACATACAATACGATTAAACATCTACCTGTAACAGTTTATGTGGTGTTAAAATTATTTATAGATCATTTTAAAATAAACAGTGAATTCTCCTCAGGCGATGTTGAACTTTTAATATACTTTCCCAATTTCATTTGCAGGAATGTTCCTACCATCACATCTCAGCTAATCTCCATTCTAAACTGCCTTCAGACCACAGTTACCAATATTGTAAAAAAGCAATAAGTATGTCAGCCTAACACAATGTCACTGTTAATGTCAGATCCATCAGAATGATTTCTTCAATAGAGAGGCTAGAAGTAATATCTCTAACTTAACAGGTAAGCCCCATACACTAGATTGAAATTTATTTCAACACTGTCTTTTAAAATATCTGTCTGCATTATTTTCAACCACTTATGCAAACTGTGTTTCTGGAAGTAAGTGAAACACGAGAAACAAGAACAATCTTCATGGTAAAGAAAGGTCCAAGCTGGGTATACCTCTTGATCGCTAAAACCATTTATGCTCCCTCCAAATGGGATAAAAACCCCATTCCTAAAGTGGAACTCCAGTCAAAACGTATTATTTTAAGCTTATATAGAGCGTGGAAGAGTTGGAATATATGAAATTATTAAAATGGCCAGCAAAAAATTTCAGAGGCACAGAGGCCCCTTTTCCGAAGGTGACTGAGGGCCTCACACTTCGTGCCCAAGGCTGGCTACACTCACTGCACCACTGTATCTATACAGCATTGTGAACCTGATGAGACAGTATCATTAGCTGGATTAGTAGATGTAGATGTACTTTAAGGGCCCTGTCACACCATCAAGTGTGCGTTCCAGTGTGTTCAGCTTCTGGAACGCAACCCGGCCAGCTCACTTTGTTTTGGGGTGGGAGGGAGTTTTTGGGGCCACCCGTGGTGCGATTGCC